TTTCTGTAGGAACATCATCCTCTTCAATTACACCAAGTTTCTTTTGTGCCTCACGCTTCGCTGGGCGAGTGGCTGTATCTTCTCTCACAGCAGCAGTGATGTCAGTCAAACGATGGGATCCGGTTCCACCATTCGTCTTCTCAAGAACCTTTCTCTGCAACCCATGTATCTCTTTACTTGTTCCAGCTTTGAGTCCTGGTTGAGCTGCAGTTGAAGAAATCATTTGAGAGCGAATAGCAGAAGTAATGTTCGATGGCTGAACTCCCGATGCAACAGGCTCACCTCCAAACAATCTACCAACGCCAGCACGACTGACGAACGCGTTTTGTCCTCGAGAAGAAGACTCAAGTTCTGCACGATTACTTCTATCAGTATCAAATGGATTAGCTTGATTTGTCGAAACAGTAACGCTTCTATTTGCTCCATCATCAAGTTGGGATAGTGCTCGTTTGCTGATTGCCTTTGGTGGTTGCATTTTAGCTGCTTCTACCGCAGCAGCAGCCCTTGTCCTTGGAACTGCAGCCCTCTCCTTTTCCTTTTGCCTTTGGATACGGATCAATTCCTTTTCTTTCTCCACCTCACGGCGACTGTACTCTACTTCCTCCACAAATGGACACTTGCCATTTGCAACACTACGGAATTGAGGCCAATCTCCCTCTTCTTTGCGGGCAACTTTGTTATATTCTCGAACCATAATTGGCTTTTGCTTTTCATCGATATCGTGAATGTAGATATAAGGCCCTCTGAATATAGTCATTTCTTTTGTAGCGACGCTAAGGTCTCGATCGGATGGTCCATAAATTCGTTCATTCCTCAATAATTGGGATAGGTCAGCTTCTCGGCCTCCTCTGCTTATCGTCCCACCCTGAACGGAATGACTCCTTGTGTTGTGACTATGTGCTGTTTGGTAACCAGTATCTGTGTCAAACATTGTTGTCATCATTCGTTGCAGCTTTTCCAATGCCCATATCTTCATCCCCAACTCTCGCGCCTTGTATAGTACATCCGAGCTACGGACTTGTTGTCGTCGTGTGTCTCCATCATGTCCTTGTGTGTTAAGTCTTCTACCACCTGGAGCTTCAAATGTAAACTTCGATCGAGATTCCCTTGAATCTGCAGTCTCGGATGATCTGTCTAGCAAAGAGGGGTTAATAGTGCCGTGTTGCGAATGTAACTCAGTGGTAGTTGAAGAAGTAAATGGGGTCTCCGGTGGAATTGATCGAGTGGTGACGACATGAGTGACCTCATTCGAGAAGAACTTTTCGTCGCGCTGAGAAGATGTCAATACAATCTGCGATACCCAATTACTTACACAGAGACATTACTTACTGCACCTAGGGCGAGAACTTGTTTAGTATATTTAAGTCGGACATCCTCTGGTATACTCTCAAAGTAGAAGACGAATTTGGGAAAACTCTTCCTATAATGCTTTTGCCATTGGCGTATCGATTCCAAATTCTCCTCGGGTACCTTATCCGCCTTTGTAATCTGCTGTTGTTGAGCACCTCTATCACCTCTAGCTGCGACACACTTTCGTTCAAAATTGGATGGCTGAGTTGATCTCCGAGTAAAAATCCTTCCTTCACCCGATACTTGGCTAATACTTTGACGTGGAGGTGTTCTTAAGGTTTGGTGATGTGCATCCAGCATCTGCTTTTTCGCCGGGGGTGGTTGTCCGTATGCATCTTCGCGTTGTATGTTGGCGTATGATCGTTTTTGTTTAGTTGTGGTGGAAGCTACCGCTCGATATGGGGAGTTGGCGACATTGGAGATGGTGGAGAGAGGCTGCCTCCTGGTCGACATATTGGTTGTTAATGTGACAGGTAATGGAGATAGTGATACTGTTGCCATATGAAAATATATCAATAGTCTCTGTGTAGGACAGAGAAATTCCTGTGAAGGAGTGGAGTGGGGTGGTTCTAGCACGCGACTTTTGACACGGTTTATCACCACTTCCTTGAAGCTCTTATTTTTATGTAGACATTAGTAAATATAATTCAAGAGTCTGGGGAAGTGAGCAGCATTGGAATGAATTAACACCAAAGAGTCGTGAACACCACACAATTCAATGAATGTGGGTTGGGATAATGCTGGAGTGGATGTTTATTTTTTTGGGTGGTGGTGTGAAGTGAAGTGTCAATCTTTTGTATGGTCGATGTTATGGTTATGGTTTATGGGTAGGGTAAGGTTCCTTAATTTTTTGGATGTGATGATGACTACAGAGGACTACCAGGTTTGGATGTTATGGGAGACAACAAAAGGCTTAAAAAAGCGCGAAGTGGATTCATCGATTATATTCACTCAGCAACACAGCAACCAATTTAAATTACCTTCCCCGGTTTGTCAGGATGGATTATGGATAATACCTGGTAAATACTAATTAGATGCTATTTACTAGGGAGATACTAATAGTATCCTAATCAAATGCTAAAATACTACCCGTCTAGGTCAATACTCGAGTAATTTAGAGCTAATCTCGAACCCTTTAAACCAATTAAACCTTTCTAATTTATGCTTGATAATGTTCATGATATAGGACGGTACTATGAGTCTATGACTACTAGGTCGGGTATGTATAAACTACCTAGTCTCTAGTATCTACCTTGGTAAGAGGAACCTTAATAAACGTTCATTAGTGCTCGATGGTAGAACATGACATAACGAAATACTAAGGTTGAGTCGCAGAAAATAATATATATCATCTTCCTCTTGTATACTTACACAGTACAAGGAAAGACTCGAGAACCTCAATCCCGTCAGCGGTCAATTGCTAATCTCTATCATGAAGTGTGGTAGAAGAACAAGAGCACTGTTCCAGCAATTGGAAGGAACCAGTAGGAGGAGAGGAATATCATCTTCATCAATACCATCTTCAAGACCTCGATGTCAAGCTCAAGTATCGTCTGCAGCAACAAAATGTCACACAACACATCAACCACGAAGGACGTATGCTTCCATATCAGCTTCAGAACTTCAATTTGGTCAACCGGTTCATGAAACCCATCCGCATTTACTTAATGCTGGAGAAGGTATGGAGAAGACTTCAATGGTATAATTACAACAAAACTAAACAAAGTGATCAGTCACTCCAGGTATCTCGGCGCAAGAATATGCGGATCGACGAGCAGATTTCGCTGCAAAACTTCCTCCAAATTCAATCGCCATCTTAAGAGGGGCAGATATCAAATATAGGTCGGGCGCCGTATTTCATGAATTTCACCAGCAATCAAATTTCTTCTATCTTACTGGATTTAATGAACCGGAGGCAATTGCAGTAATACAGAGATTGGAGTCTTCAGAATTTATATTTCACCTATTTGTTAGACCTAAAGACCCGCAGGCAGAACTTTGGGATGGTGCTAGATCTGGGGAACAAGCAGCCTTGGATGTTTTTAATGCGGATGAAGTAAGACACCAATTTCTACAACACTTCGCAAACAATAACAATGCTAATATTGACATAGTCTGGAGATGTCAACCAGGCAGCTTCACATCTAAGGCCACTTATTGAGGGAGCTAGTGAAATATATATGGATGTCAAAGAATCTTTCCTTGGGGGTACTCTGGACTCGATCCAAGGTGTAATGAAACAAAAGGAGCTTATGCAACTATTCCGCGATGCTAAAGCAAAAAAATCGAAATCAATTGGGCCGTTGATAAATGAATTAAGGGCGATCAAAAGTGACGCCGAAATCGAAAATATGCGGAAAGCAGGTAGAATCTCCGGCAGATCTTTTACAAATGCTATGCGGAAACGATGGACTGAAGAGAAACATCTTGGCGCATTTCTTGACTTTGATTTCAAAATCGGAGGTTGTGAGAAGAATGCTTATGTGCCAGTCATTGGAGGTGGAAGAAATGCCCAGAGCATACATTACGTTTCCAACAACGATGTACTACGAGATGGCGAGCTTGTCCTGGTAGACGCCGGTGGACAATATGGTGGATATATTACGGATATTACTCGGACATGGCCCATCAATGGCAAATTCACAGATGCCCAGAAAGATCTCTACGAAGCACTTTTAAGGGTACAACGAAGTAGTGTTGCGCTATGCAGGGAGAGTTCAAACATGACTTTGGATAAAATCCATGCAGTTACCAGAAATGGTCTCACAGATCAATTGAAACAACTAGGATTCGATATGTCTGGAAATGCTATCGATACCTTGTTTCCACATCACGTCGGCCATTATATTGGACTTGATGTTCACGACACTCCAGGATACTCTCGAAGTAATCTTCTCAGGGAAGGACATTGTATTACGATCGAGCCGGGAATTTATGTACCAAACGATGAGCGCTGGCCAGCTCATTTTAGGGGCATGGGTATCAGAATTGAGGATAGCGTTTGTATACAGGAGGATTCACCTCTAGTACTAACTACCGAGGCCGTAAAGGAGGTTGTAGATATCGAAGCTTTACGCGGTTAAACGAAGGGGGATAAATGAATTGTATTATAATGATGTATACCACTCCGAGCAAAAAAGTATAAATGCATATACCCACAAATCAATCGAGATTGATAACGTCCGAATAGATGCTGAGTACTTTACCTATGGAGCTTTACCATGCATTTCTTTCCAATGAGCCCATTTTAATTCATAAATACTACTAGTAGCACGAGGGAAAAATTATTATTCCTGGTAAATCGAGTATCCCCAGTGAACTCCTAGTGATCTCCCGGTGAGCTTAAAAGTAGTTGCCGAAACTTAAAATAAGGGTTCACATGAAATCCTTGCCCCACTCTCCACACAGTCGGCCGCAACTCCGCATCGAAAGTCCGCATCATATTCATCGGCCTCAGCCTCGTCTGAATCATTCCCATCATCGTACAATCTCGTCTACCAGACTCATCCTCACATTGCACAACATTCCGTCGTAATTTGCTACATCGAGATCAAACCGACAATTTCTGCAGCCATTCACAATCGAATTTCCAGCCACCAAACAAAACACAACCAACTCACACACACAAACCCAAGCCACACCACGAAACAATGAGCTCTCCCAACCCCGACACCTCTCCCCTCCCCTCCCGCACGCCCACCCCCACAACCCCCACCGCCTCCCTCCCTACACACCCACGCACCCACTCCTCAGGCATCCCGGATCTCCCTCCCTCCTCCCCCACTCTCCCCCTCACCATGACCTCCTCCCTCCTGCTCACCAATCTCCCGCGCGACTCCAGCACCGCGCTCGACTCTGCATTTGTATTCCCCACTCCGAAAATCACGGTGCGGTTCCAGCCGATTGGGTCGGCGCCCGCGTTGCAGAGACCGGTGTCGAGGATTAGTTCGACGCAGAGGTTTGAGACGGTGGTGGCGTATTTGAGGAGGGTGTTGAAGTTGGATCGGAATGCGGGGGGAGGGGGAGAGAGGGAAAGTGTTTTTTTGTATGTGAATAGCTGTTTTGCGCCGGCGTTGGATGAGGTCGTGGGGAATTTGCATAGGGTGAGTGGTCTATGGGATTGATTATGGGGAGTGTGGGATGAGGGTTTGGGTTGGATCAATGCTAATTTTTGGAATAGTGTTTTAAGGATTCGAAGGACCAGCTTATTGTCACCTATTCGATGACGCCGGCATTTGGATGATTGAACGAACCATGCGATACACGGTAGTCAGTCATTCAAACATTCAAACGAAACAGTTAACATGGGGTATTCAATTGCTTTCTAAACTAGATTTGGGTTGGTATACAAAAAAATTATATTGCTATCGGGCATCTAAAAGCTAAGCAAATATTGGGAATCTAGAAGCTGGACAAATACGCCTGCGATCCAACAACATCGATAATTCATCCACAAAACCTCAATCTATTTTGCTAATCGCACTTCGAAATTCCTCGAGCTCCTTCTCTGGAATCGGATATGTATGCTCTGGGGCTGGGTAGGCTCGAGACTTCGTTTCTTCGCGGTATTCCGTAATGGCTTTTAAGCTTTCGCTCCAGACATCACCATATTTCTTTACAAACTTTGGGAGGAATCGGCCGGGTGGGAAATTGCCAGTCATGTCAACTTGCACCAAAACTTGTCCCGAGCAACCATTTCCTGCGCCAATGCCAATTGTAGGGATAGATAGCTTCTCGGTTATGAGTTTTGCAACTTCTTGGGGAACAGCTTCAACGACCGTTGCGAAAGCGCCGGCTTCTTGGACGGCGAGTGCATCTTCGAGAACTTTCAGTGCACCGGCACAAGTTTTACCTTGCACGCGGAAGCCACCGAGAGAGTTTTGGCGTTGGGGTGTGAGGCCTATATGACCTAGGACTGGAATGCCTGCGGTCGTAAGTTTCTTGATAGTAGGTGCCATTTCTGCACCTCCTTCTAATTTAATGCCTTGCATTCGACCTTCCTTCACAAATCGAAAAGCGGACTCGAGAGCTTGTTCGGGGGATATTTCATATGATCCCATAGGAAGATCTCCAACCTGATGATTTGGTTTGTTAGTAAAGGAGGTGGTGCATGAATTGAGGGAATACGGGAATGTACATACAGTGAAAGCAGCTTTTGCAGCACGCGATACAGAACGACAATGCATCAACATCTCTTCCATGATAACCTCACTAGTATCCTCCATTCCCAAGGCTACCATAGCCAAACTATCTCCTACTAAAACTATATCCATACCCGCGACATCCGCGACATGACCACTTGGGAAATCATGAGCCGTCATTACGGCGATAGGTTCCCCTTTCTTATACATGGACCTCAATGTAGTCATGGTGACCTTCTTCCTCGCACTCGGTGAGCCCATGGGACTATGCGAACTTTTTCTAGTTTGACATTGTGCAAGAAATGGTCTAACAGCAAAAGTTGCTGGTCGTGAATATTGCTTCAATAGTGTGCGCGTGCTCATCTTCATGATGGGAAATGATGAAGACATGGTTGCAATTGATGGAAAGAAATTCTCACGGATTGAAATTGATGATTAGAAAACTTTGAAGATGGATGATGGAGAGCCATTGTAAGAATAGCGGAGGTCCATAACAAACTTTTTGTTGAGGTCGTGATGATTATTGCGCTGTGGTTTCCATACTGGAGCTCAAAGTGAGATTATTTCATTATTTGCGGTTCGTTTTGTCGCTTGGGGTGGTTCTTTGGGCCGAGGGATGGGGCTAGATTATGTAAGGGGAACCGAGGCGGTAGTTTGGGCGGAAGAAAAGGGTGATGATGGATGCAGGTGGCATGAGATGGGGTACTATTGATTCTTTTGGGACCTGAGTTATTATTCATACATAGATAGGTAGGTATGGCACGAAGATGGTAAGATCTTACAACCATGGGGATAAAATGATTTACTTCTGTGGAATCACAACCTTGGTATCAAAAGCGTTTCGTTCCCCTCCTTTCCGGTGTAATACCGTTCAATATGGTCCTACTCTAGGATATCTAAAGCAGCATTCAGATCATGCAATGTGCTGCAGTGTACCTGAGAATTGTCTTTCATCGTTCAATCACAGACTGAGGCGTTCTTGTGAATCATACAGGTTGAGGTGGGTGAAAAGTATATGATGATGTGTTTACCCCTCCTGGCCTTCATATTTCTTGATCCACGATCCATATCCGGACAAAGACAAACCCCAAACCTCGTGAGCAAGTATTATCACGTTATTGTAATTACGGTATCATTACACAGATTACATACCTACCCGTGGACCGACCTAGTAGCTACCATTTAAACCATCTCACGAGACCAAAGCGGGCGCATGAATCGGCAACTACCGATTGTTACCGCTTTATCGCTCAGATAAGGACTGTACGGTCCACGGTCTAGCAGCTACTACAACAAACTCCAAGATCAATTCTCTCCTCATATAAACTCATTATTTCACCATTTTACCATTTTGCCATTTTTCTAAATCTACAAATTACTGAATCCTTACGTCGAACACTTGCTTGATCCAGAATAAAATACCATAAACTCAAGCGTCAAAATGTCTAGTCCGAGACGAAGGATTGAGACTGATGTAAGTAGTATCCCATAGTCGTTATTTGGACAAGTTGAGACTAACGTCGGGTTTTGGATATATAGGTCATGAAGTCAGTGTTTATTGCTTGAGGACTTGTTTTTTTAAGGAAATTTAGCTAACAGTGTGATTATAGGATGTATGCGACACCTTTTCACGGCTGGTCCGATTGATTTATGCTTCAGTGCTTACCAGGAGTATAGGTTGATGTCGGATTATGAGGTGACTCTTGTAAATGACAATAGTGAGTTGGAAACATACCCATACAGTCTGCAGAAATTCTAACCTTTTATCTAGTGTATGTAATATGTTGAGGAGAACTTTGAAACCAGCCGCTCATGTAATGGCAATAATAGGCAAGAGTTCTATGTCCGCTTCAAGGGACCAGCAGAGAGTGAGTTCACTTCCTCTCCCCTCTCCTCCGACATTCCCTCCTCTCAAACACATAAACTAACCGCTACCCCCACAGCACCATTCGAAGGCGGGCTCTGGAAAATCCACGTCGAACTCCCAGATCAGTATCCCTACAAATCCCCCAGCATCGGTTTCGAAAACCGCATCTTTCACCCTAATATCGATGAGTTGTAGGCCCTTTCCCCACCACCAACACGGTGGAACAGATTACTTACTGAGACTATCTTCATAGATCCGGTTCCGTCTGTCTCGATGTGATAAATCAAACTTGGTCGCCAATGTTCGATATGATCAATATCTTTGAAGTGTTCCTCCCGCAATTACTTCGATATCCAAATCCGACGGATCCACTGAATGGAGAGGCCGCCGCACTACTTATGAGGGATTCGAAAGCGTATGATTTAAAGGTTAAAGGTGTGTATTTAAGGATATTATTGGGAAGGATTTTGCAAGTGGATGGGATGGGAACTGATAAAATACAGAATATGTAACGAAATACGCAAGTAAAGACGCAGCAGACGATGCGGGCGCCGACGAATCAGATGACGATACCATGTCCTCGGTAGCTAGTTTTGACGACGACGATGATAATGAAGAGGCAGCGGGTACAATGGAGGAAATCTAAAGTACACCTGAATCGTTTGCGGACAGTTTGGTCAGTCCTAGATAATGGATGGATGGATATTTTATAAAGGCATACGCATTTCACGCATATTTTCACGGGTGTTCATATGGTCTGGTTATGGATGCTTATTTTCAATGGATATTGATGCAGGGCTTAGGAGTTTGATTGAAGTGCAAATATTTTGATTGGGCGGGGTATACATGGGCCTCTCTACTCAAGTTTCTTTCTCTCGTGATGTTTTCGAGGGTTTCGAGATGCGTAGAGTAAGGCATCGCTGATTAGGGTGTGAAGGTGGTGGAATGGTGAAATTTTAGCATGTTCACTGGACTGGTTACCTAGCTAGTAGGCAGGCGGACCGACAGCGAGTAGGTAGTTGAGAGTGAGAATTTAGCGGTTGTTAAGTGCTTGTTTTAAGTGAACCAATCAATGCCAATCCACTTTTGATTCTTCAAAGGTGTTATACATACCCGACATCTCCCTATTAGAAGTCGATCGGGATTTGAAGGTCGGCTTTGAAATTGATGTTCAGATGTCGCGGGCGCTGATGTCATATCCCAATATAACAAAAACAAAGATCTCACATCATGACGAAGAAGAGTGATATAAACCTTTCACTCCATACTTAGATACTATATCCAGCAACAGCCTGTCCCCAACATCTTGCCAACCATCTTGCCAACCATCCCCACGCACAACCATTTCCATTGCTCGACCAAACCATCCACCTACAATCTCCTTGGCCAAATCCGCATCATTTGTTGTACGCATAAGCTTTTCCATTAAAGCATCTGCTTTTGATTTTGATTGATAGAACCTCCTTCCTTCCTTCAAGGCAAAATCAAAATCAATGTTTGATTTGCTTCTCCTTTGATTGTGACTAGAATAACCTTGGAAGGGCTTTCTTTTTACTTATTGTTTATTTCATTACCATTGGTTCTAGTAGCTCCGCTGACGATCGTTTCAGTGGTATTTTGGGTGGCTTGTTGGGGAGGGTTATTGGTTGTGTTTGGAGGAGGTTTATTAGTAACTTCTTGAGAATATTCACAAGCAACACCTTGAGAAGGTTTACTAATAACACCTTGAGAAGGGTTATAAACAACCTCCCAACAACTTTATGAATTACCCCCAACACCAATATTACCTCCATTAGTAGCTAGATACTTCATGAAGTACGCATTATGTTTATAGCCTCCAATATACATATATATCATCACATCATGTATAAGCATACCTTCAAACTAGAAAAGTAATAATGTATGCGTACTTTGTTATTAAAATACCAATAACCCATTCCGTGGTTCATTGACGTGCTGCTACATTCCTCTCCTAACAGATTGTTTCTATCTCCTCGTTGATTCATCCGTTCGTTTATCTATGTGTACATAATATCGATATCATGTACCTACTCTTCTTCCCCAGAGCTGGACTCGCCCTCTCATCCTGATCCTGTATTCGGATGCTTGTTAGCTTGACTTCGATTTCGTATTGATGGTCCAGAGAGTAGTATATGGTATAGCAATGTGATGAGATAGACATACACGTGGTAAATGGTAAATGGTATACGGTAAATGTCAAATCATCAAATGGAAAAGAAGAGTTCATGTGATGGATATTAATACACATACATCAACTATAATAAAATAGAGCAGTAGATTCACACGATACTTTGAATAGTTTACTACTCTACTCACCCCCTCACACATTTCTTTCTTTGCTCCCCCTCCCCTCTTCTCCTCTTTCCTTTTGGTTATGTTATTTATTTCGAAAATATCACTTTACCTCTCTTCTTCTTCTTCTTCTTCTTCTTCTTCTTCTTCTTCTTCTTATATTACCTCCAGCTACCCAAGATTTATTCATCCATCCATCCCTTTCCTCACATATTTCCATATCCCCACTACATATATCTCGTATCTACTACCTAGGTATAGGTACCCATCAACCTCAATACCTCTAGCCATGTTCGTATTTCTCTTGCTCATACACATTTTCTGCATTGCAGCTTCTTCGTCGCTGTTACTGTTAATCTCCTTCTGTTATCTATCTATATCTCTCTATTTCTATTGCTTCAAGACGTTCTGGTCTACTTCTACTTACCTCTTCTGTATCATTTCTACTTTTGTGTGTACCTCCTCCCTCGCTTTCATTCCATTCCATGCACCCCTCCTCTTTCCCCTCACGCCAGAAGCAAATACTAGAAAATCAAAAGGGAAAAACGTTTCCACATACTACTAAAGGGATGAAATGAAGGTGGTGGAGTCGTGAGTGTAATGATATATATCTCAATCCTTTGAATTGAGTATTATATATTAGGAGATATATTAGATCATCCGTGGCAATTCCGGAAGCGGTGCAGTAATCTATGACCTCGGGAAGGCTTTATGAGTATTACGGAAGACTTAGCGCAATCAAATCGAATATACACAGTCAAGTTTATATTATCGGATGTGATGTGATATATGTGACAGTTGGGATTGATGATATCTTCTAAATGTATGTATGTATGAAATGTAGAGAACGAATGAACAATTGGTACACCAGTAGTCGCATCATGGAAACACTCATCTTTATACCTATGTATTCTTTTTCTTGTCTTGATGAACATCCATATGGTTTCCCATCTCTGGCGATGAAAATACCTCTTTTGAGCTTCTAGCACTCGTCGTATACCGAACCTATCGATCATTGCTCTCCTGGTAATGTACTCTCCCATTGATCGCTGTGTTCATTGTAGATAAATTTACATTGGAATGGGTGCGTACCTATTCATCAGTAATTCCCCAGTGTCATCGCATTGACCATTCCGCCATCTCCTATAAAGAGGTCGCAAATTCACTTACAGGAAAAAGTCGCGGCCGCACATCATCTACTAATTATCCACACCTATTCCATGACACGATTCACTACGTATCCACTCTCCCGGACCTAGCCGGGACCCTCCAGAGCCGTTAACAACGGCCAAAAAGACTCTGTTCTGTATTCACAGAAAGATGAAGATTAAAAAATATAAAAATTCAATCGCAAGGTGAAAGCTTTAACGTTAGAGAATTTAAAAGCCGCCCGGGCGCCTTTCTACCAACATAGAGGGTCTTGTGCCGCAGCTCAACGCTTTACCATTGAGGCAACTGGATGCAGCAGCTTGTCAGGTTTAATGTTGTCGCGTTGTTTTTGTATATATGTGTAAGGCGGCGGGGCGGTGAGATGGTAGTGGCATTATCTACATCGCCTCGCTCTCGCGCATAGGTGGAAATGCATGTCCTTGAAGGTTTGGTATTTAGCAAAGTTAGACCACGTACCGTCATGTTGAAGTCGTTGTATCGATCAGAAGGTTGACGGTAGGGTGATCTTCAATGACTTGCAAAATCAAAGCGGGGATGGAGTTAGTCTTGATAATGAGGGTATGAAAATGAAGCTCGTATTCAGTCAGACACGGTGAATTCAAAATGCAATGCCTGATTAAAGTTAGTAATGCCAAGGGGTAACCACCCCGTCATCGATGCAGAGCGTTTTATACCCATTGCATCTGAAATTATCAAAGTCAAATGACAATTCGTAAGCTGACGAGGATTCGATAAATCTGGGCGCTGGGAATTTGAGGTCTGATGACTCGAGTTTGAGTTGCAAATTAACAACCGTACCTCAAGCTCGTGTTGATGTTGTCGCTTGCAATTCTTTCAGATCTTTTGAATCAAGTCATAGGAGCAGGACTCAAGGGAAGAAATTATCTTGAGCTGAAACAGTAACCCAAGATGATGAAGAGGACAGTCGAGAACGATGGCTTGACTAATCTCCAAGTTATAACGACATGATATGTATGCAGTCTGGGGATATGAATAGTGGACTAGCGAGACTAGCCACCCCGCGAATTTGTCTTGGCTTCCTTGTCAAGGGGTAGACCCACAATCTTTGATCACACGTCTTTCGCTGGGACCGCCAAGGTGTCAGCCCTGCTAAGATATAGAAGCATTCCCCAGCAGTCGTTACCAATCTTCAGGTTCTTCTAGATCGCTCTTTTTGTCCCAGATGTCGAGTAAAACGACATGCTCGAAAAGGATAATAAATTGGTAATGCTTCCGGCTTATTTTCGTAGAATTATGCAAATCGCCCGGCTTGTCGATGTACGTCGGGTCAAAATCAAAAATTCTTCGGGGGTTGGCATCTTTCGAGATTGCGAGACAGCCATTTGACTGTTCTCTATGTCGACATTGCCTATTGGTAATTAATCATCAAGGTGGATCTTGGCACCGGAGAATATGATGTAGAATTTATCCATAGCCTCAAGCTTCAATCTATGAAGCAGCCAGAATAAGAAGGCGATAGCACAATGGCTTGATCTTCAGCATGTGACGCCGGTTTATCCCATTTTTGAAATAAGGATATCAATATAGAGAAGGTAGAAAACAACTGATCAACGAACTTGTTCTCAGCTCCAACTATAAAATCAGTCGTTGATAAGAGACTGTACACCAGAACACACGTTGTGACCCTGCCAAGGTCCGAACCGCACTTGTACGGCATATCGAAACTGTAAAGCACTTGCTTCTAGATTTCGCGATAATCCTTAGAGAGTGTTTATCGCTTGAAGCATGGAAACCTGACTAATTCCCTCATACGACAGAGTCCAATCAGATGCTAGATAGTAACGGTATTGCAACATGAGCCATTTCTTTTTACAAACGGCTGCTTGCTTGAGTGATTTTAGATATTGCAACAGTTGTTGCAAGAGATAGGTATTTTGGAGGTTTCGTGATGGAAAAGATCTGGGGCCTTGTGATATTGATAAGGCAATTTGCTCCGCCACTTTTTCGTATTAATGACATGGCATTGTTGTCTATGTTGTTAGAGCAGGGCAAGGGTTTACTCTTCAGAGGAAAATCCCTCGACGCTACCGGAAAAGCCACGTGAAATGCCTCGGGTAAGAATTTTTCCATCAAACACGGTAAGACAAGACCCATAGAAATGGCTGTCTTAGAACGGCGACTGTTTTCGTCCTCGTCCTCGTC